CCACCCCCTCACCATCCCCCTACCCACCATCACCGTCACGCACCTTCAGGTTGACATTCAAGACCCGGTCAAAAGCGTCGCTCTCCATCTTCAGGAACAGACTGTCAGTGGTGATCCCAGCGCAGTTCACTGCCACACAGGGGGGGCGGGAATACCGTGCCTGGAAGACAAAATGGCCGACGTGGGGGGGGTGGCGGTGAGGGCCAATGGCATAAAACAAAATAATCGTTGGCCCTCGTCAGTGAGGGCAAAGGTCAGGGGCTCGAGCACCAGAGCCGCCTGCACAACCTTGGTTCTCAACTTTACAGCCTCATACCCACCCCCGGCCCCCAAATGGAGAGTGTTACTCCTAGGTCAGCCCCTTCGGCCCAGCCACTGCTCGCCCGGAGGGGGTGTTTCGCTCCAGCCTGGTCTGCCCTGACCAGCTACGGGTCGTTCCAATCCTCCACAACATCCCGCTGGAGACGTTGTTTTTCAAACTGGAGGCTGGTTGAAATGGTTCATGTCACGTTCAAGAGAGAAATGGTAGAGCTCAAACCATCTGGTCACTGCGTTAAATTGTTGCATTCAGGCCCCTTGTCGAACACCCAGAGCCAGTTTGGACTTACCAAAGACAGCGCAAACAAGCTCGAAGGCGTTCAGAAATGTAACCATTGTGTTTTTTTTTATTTTCCTGCACTTTTGATTGCGGACTGACATCCAATAAAGGACCCTTTTGACTTTTGCGGTTTCTAACAGCAACTTACCGATGCTCATTGTAAGTGGTGTTTACACTGCTGCTTGTTGAAGCAGAGGAGAGAAGGTTACTGCAGATGAACTGGCTACGGTTTGGTGGGGAAGGGGGAGGGGCATGCGTACAACTTGACATTCAGTCGGTAACAAGTAGCTGATTGGTCTGAGGAGCAGTGACCAGTTGTCGATGACATTAGCCTTCTGCCTGTCAATACCTATGTGATTGGTTCCTAGGTGGCTCAACAGTTTGTGGTTGTGAATGATATGGCCCAGAACTCCAGAAGGGAAAGTGGTCTCTCTCTCTCTCTCTGCAGCAAGAAAAAAAACCTAAAGCTTGAACAAAGCCGGTTTCTTTCTCCCCTTGCCAGAGCTGTAAACTGTGGTTTTTAACGTAACTGACAGACTTTTCAGTTTATGCTCCAGTTGCTCTATGCCTTCTTCAAGGAAGTGAAAGGACCTGCAGAAGAACAACAAGGTCCCAACAAGCAAACGGATCATCTCAGCAAACCCTGTGGACATGGACCACTGAACTACCTTCCCATGTTTTTACTCACCCATAACACCAACGTTTATTGTCTGTAGTTGAGTGAGTGTAGGGGGAGTTTTATGAGGGGGCAAGAGTATTAACAGCAGTGTTGTACATTTACAGTTCATAATTGTTTATCTACGGTTAGAATCGACTCCATTGTAATGAATAGTTATTCTTGTTAAGTACAGAAAGCTGGTCCACAACTTCTATTAACTTGAGTATACAACGGCAGATATATTGGGAAGTTCTGTATACTTTGGTTAAACTTCAATTAGGTATTACAATGTCTCCAGGAATGGTTTCCAGCATGTTACCCCAGTAAGGTGTGACATGACATTCGTTCGAGGTGACATGCATACACACACTCATACACACACACACACACACACACACACACACACACGCACACTCACATACATACACACACACACACACACACACACACAACTGAGGGGAGTGTGTGTGTGTGTGTGTGCGCGTGCGTGTATGCGTGTGTGCCCCCTCACTGAGAAATGGGAAAAACCCTGTCTTGAAAACTCTTCAATCCCATCTCCCCATTGCCGCTATCGCTTGCGACAACCACAGGACAGTAACCATGCATCAAGGAGACTAATCACTTTTCATCAGCCTAAGATAGCAACCAAATAGACAATTTGATTTGATTTATTGTTGTCACACGCACCTACGTTTTAGGGTGGCACGGTGGCTCGGTGGTTAGCAATACCACCTTAAGGCGCCAGGGACCCGGGTTCAATCCCAGCCCTGGGTGACTGTCTGTGTGGGGTTTGCATATTCTCCCCTTGTCTGTGTAGGTTTGCTCCAGTTTCCTCCCACAGCCCAAAGATGTGTAGGTTAGGGTGGATTGGCCGTGCTAAATTACCCCATAATGTCCAGGGATGTGCAGGCTAGGTGGGTTAGCCATGGGAAGTGTAGGGTTAAAGGGACAGCTGGGGCAGGAGGGGGGGAGTCTCCAGAGGCTCAGTGATGGGCTGAATGGCCTGCTTCCATACTGTAGGAATTCTATGGTAAGTACAGTGAAAAGTTTTGCTTTGTGAGCTGTAGAGGCACCTCATAACATACAAGGACTCTCAAATCAATGGGCGTTTAGCCAGAACGAGGCATACAAGGTTATGGCTGAGCTGGAGGTGCACTAAGCAGGATCAGAATTATATGTGAAGTTAGAGAGGTCCATTCAGAAGTCTAATAACAGCAGGGAAGCTGTTCTTTAACTTGTTGGTACGTGTGTTTAAGCTTTTGGATCTTCTGCCTGACAGAAGACAACATGAGAGTCGAATCTCCCACTTCATAAAACCCATGAAAAGTATGTAAACAATTGAGAAATCAGTGAACTCAATGTGACCACATGATCTGTGCACTTTAGAGCAAAAACGCAGTCGATTTTTCATTTATATCCTGTGGCTTAAAGGGAACCACGCATTTTGCAACTAATCTAATTATTTACAAATTGTGATTGCAAATTATTTAATTATTTAATAAAGGCAAGGAGCTTGTTGATCGCACTAATTTCATAGGGACTTACAATCTGGTGAGCCAGGCTACTGGTCTCAGGGTTCAAATCTCACCAGGACCGAAAGAATATCAATTCAATCCATCCAGTCAGAATTGAATATGAGTGTGAGCTGTTGGAAATCCCATCTGGTTCACTAATGGCCTTTAGGGAAGGAAACTGCCATCCTTACCTGGTCTGGCCTACATGTGACTCCAGACCCGCAGCAATGTGAATGACCCTTAGCTGCCCTCTGCAATGGGCAAGCAAGACACTCAGCTCAAGGGCAATTGGAAATGGGTGACACATGCTGCCCTGGCAAGTGATGCCCACTTCCCGTGAGAGAACAAGGAAGATGATTGTCCCCATAAATGAATTTTCCGGGATGAGAAACCTCAGTGATCAGGTCTTTGCCGAATCATGAGCGGGCTAGGGAGAAACTGTTCCCGCTTGGAAAAGGAACGAGACGGAGAGTATGGATTTAAAGTGAGCTGCACAAGCAGCAAACATAAAGTGAGGAAGAGCCTTTTCACCCAGTGAGTGGTCTGGGATTAGGAACGCACTGCCTGGAGGTCTGGAAGCCTGTTCATTTGCACTTCCAAGAGGGTACAGGATGATTAGCTGGATTGAACATTGGATATAAGGGTACAGTTGTGGGGGGGAGGGGAAAGCAGGAGATTGGCATGAAGTAACGAGTGTGTGCGGTCACGATGGGCCGAATAGCCTGCCCCCTGTGCTGCAACGTTTCTGCGACTCCTAGCCTTGGCGGTCGTGACGGTGATAACTTTTCAATTATTTATCATCTCCGTCTGCCTGCTGCCTATCTACTTTGCTCTAATGCTGTTTAGTGAACAGTAAGGCAGCTTCAGCAGTGAGAGTCCCCTCTCCTACCATCTCCTGCCTTTTATTTTACAAGTATCCCCCCCTTATTATTGACTCTTCAACTGAGGGGAACAGCTGCTTTCTATTCACACTGACCATGACATCCCAACCACCCCAACACCCATAATCTCATACACCTCCCTCAGGTTCCAGTCGCACAAACAAAGCAGACCCAAGTTTTATCCAGCCTCTCTTCAAAGCTAAAATGCTCCATCCCAGGCAACGTCCAGCTGAATCTCCTCTGCACCCCCTTCCAATACAATCCCATCTTTCCTGTAGTGAGGTCACCTGAACTGCACACGGTACTCCAACTGTGGCCTGACCAAAGTTCTGTAATTTCCAACAGAGCCTCCCAGCTCTTATAATCTAGCCACAATTAATAAACACCTCTTGTCCACACTGATAAAACCTTTAATTATCTCGGGGCAATGGCTCGAAAGAAATTCTGCGATTTGCATTTTAATCAATAGAAACCTGCGTCTCCTTTCTAACTGATTAAAGAGTCAAAACAGGCAGTCAGCGAGCCATTTTTAGGGTTGTTACCTTTCCACTTATAAATACATATTTCCTCTTCCAGACTACACCTGAGGAAGGAGCTGAGCTCTGAAAGCTCGTGTTTTCAAATAAACCTGTTGGACTCTAACCTGGTGTTGTGTGATTTCTGACCTTCTCCGCCCCAGTCCGACACCGGCCCCTCCACATCGCAGTCAGTGGGGTGAGAGAAGCTGCCAATGTCAGGCCGTCCCTACCTGAACGTCAGCCATGAGGCTGTGGACATGCTCAGGGGACGACACATCGGTAACAAACAGCAAGTGTTGCTGCTGATCGGAGGGCAGCGTCCGCAGGGTCTCCTCCGCTGCCCCTTTGTCGATGTCCACCACTGCCACCATGGCACCCTCCTTTGCAAAGCGCTGGCACACGGCCCGACCGATCCCACTGCCACCACCTACAGAATGAGTCACAGAGTTAAAGGCAGCTTCCACCAGTGAGAGAGAGAGAGAGAGAGAGAGTGTGACAGTGAGAGAGAGAGTGAGAGAGAGAGAGAGAGTGAGAAAGAGAGAGTCTGAGTGAGAGAGAGCGAGAGAGAGAGAGAGAGTGTGTGAGAGAGAGAGCAACAGAGAGTGAGAGAGCATGTATGTGAGAGAGAGAG